TATATATAAATATATTTTTTTGTTTAATTATGCTTCTAAAAATAAATATATTTGATTGTCTATAAAGTAACTATTACAGATTTATTAAACAAGTAATTAATATTCAGTATATATAAATATATTTTTTTTTGTTTAATTATGCTTCTAAAAATAAATATATTCTTCATATATATATATATTCGATTGTCTATAAAGTAACTATTACAGATTTATTAAACAAGTAATTAATATTCAGTATATATAAATATATATTTTGTTTTGTTTAATTATGCTTCTAAAAATAAATATATTCTTTCCCTTTTACGATCAGACAAATAAAAATTAAAAAAAATTAATATTTAAATGGGAATAAAATTTACAAATTACCATAAATGATCGAATACTCCGGGGAATAATTCAATTCACTTTTATGCATTATTCGTGACGTCCCATTGACCGACAATGTAAAAACACAATTATATTAATATATTTTTTCTTTTTCTTTTTAGACCAATCGCAGGACACGCAAATCTTTGCCCTGGTAGTATTAGTACGAAGCCTCAGGAACTGGAAACATTATTGAGCACCGTAAAACACGAAATTCTTCACGCTTTGGGTTTCTCCGTGAGTCTTTACGCCTTTTACAGGGATGAAAATGGCGAACCTAGAACACCGAGAAGAAGTGACACTGGAAAACCTCCGTTGAATGAAAAGTGAGTATTCTCAAAACAAAAGAAACGTCTCATATATTTTTTTTTAAACAAATTACCAATTGATCACAAATTATTGGATAAAATTTCATTATAAAATGTAAATATAAAATTAATTTCTATAACAATTGAAAACCTATAGAAACGGAGTAGGTGAGATGTGATCGAAAAATATTTAAGTCAAACATAAAAACCAATTTATTTTTTTTTTATCAAACTTTTATCTCTCTTGATAAAAGCTCAAAACTTTTTAACTTTATATAAATATAAATATGCTAAATATAAAATATATGAAATGTCAAAATATATGAGTGGAAGTGAAAGAGACGTAGACGACATCGTAGATTACTTTTACGTTTCTATCTCGTTCTTTTTTTTTTTTTTTGAGAAAGAAACAAGAAGCAACAACGTCGTCGGTGGCTACAGCGATCCATCATCCAACCCCGACGACATTCTTCCATCCCTCTTTTTCTCACCCTTTACTCCTGCGTTCTCTGGCACCATGTTCGTCTCGTGTAGTATCTGCCTTTAAAATTGGAAAATTCCAACTTTCCTCTCTCACTCTCTCTCTCTCTCTCTCTCTCTCTTTCACTCCCTTCCAGTCCACGAACCATAACGAACCGTTCCGACGTGGAACGCGTTCCTACCCTCCTCCTACTTTCTGCCATTTCTTTTTCCTTTTTTATATTCTTTTTTTTTTTTGTTTCATTCTCTTTCTCTCTTTCACGTTTTTTTCACTCTACTCTCATATTTGTGTGTCCTTTCTTCCTTTCTTCCTTCCTTCCTTCCTATTTTACATATCTGTCGCTCTTAAAAATTCAACCCCTTTATTCCTGACATCTATACGCTTCTAATATTCACCATCAACACTTTGAATATTTTCCAATTTTTTGTTGTGAAAATTCTATTTTTCGTGGTTTATTTTTTTTTTGTCTTGTATTTTTATTATTCACATATGTTACACATTTCAAATTCAATCCTTTATTCCGATAATCTCAACACTTCTAATGTTTTCCGTTAACACGTTAAAGGATTATAAAAATATGTTTTTAATGTCTCGCGTAATTATGAACATTTATATTACATTTTTTTTTTTTTAGTTCTATATATTCTATCTCATTATTTACATTCGTTGCATTTACAAATACAATTCATTTTATTTCACTTAATGTTTATGCACTTTTAATATTATTTTCATCTCAACACCTTTAAAGATCGTACAAATATTTTCGAATTTTTCTCTAACAATAACACAAATTCATCTTTCATTATGATCTACGCGATATTTATTTTTAATTAAACCACGTTGGATATATATTCTCAAGAAAAAATAATAATTATAAAAACGAGCACGTGTGTTAATACTACGAGGAAAATGAAATTAATCGTCTATTGTTCTTCGATATCGAAAGAAAATTATTATCCAAGTAAATATTTATATATCCGATTGATTTTTTTACTATTTTTCCTACATCCTACCATTTCTCATATGATTCTGATACAAAAAAAGAGAAAAAATAAAGTATCTTTTGAATTAATATTATATTTTACAAAAAATTAATCTGAGAAATTATAAAATTTTTCGAAAAACAACACACGTCAAGTCGTATTATTAAATTAAACGTTTATGTTCGTACGATCATTAAAATAATTTTAATTTCACTTACTGTGCATGCATACGTACATGCACACGTGCACACGTGCACACGTTTTCTCACTCTGCCTGATTATAAAAACCTAATCTTCCCAATTTCCACGTTGTAAGAATAGAAATAGGAATAATATAAGAATGACAGGAATTCAATTACTAATAATTAAAGATGTATTCTTTAATCCTGTTACAATAAGATCAGGTGCTTGATTCATGTTAAGATTTTAAGCTGTTCTTCCTTCGGTCTTTCTCATATTACACTTGGATGGTTTTTAAATTACAATTACATATCCTATCTCTCGCTAATTTTCGGAATTATTTCGGTACGACAAATCTTGTGCATTTAAATTTTACGTTTCATGATTTTCTATCGATACGTAATAATAAATTCAATTACAATCCCTTGTGTGCATGATTTAATTCCAAGTAAAGGGTTGAACAAATTCTCTACATCTCTGTTATTCTTTCAATTATTACATAACAATATAATATTAATAATAATTTATATATTAATTATAATAATAAATATTAATTATAACAATTAATATATAATAAATATTTCGCATTATAAATTTTACCAAATTCTTGATGCAACACAACGTAACATTGTCAGTATAATTTTTTAATTTATCAAGAGAATGATTTGTTTATAAAAAAAAAACAAAACAAATTTTTGGCACCGGATCGATATTGTTCCATTATTTCGTAAACGTCCCAAGATATAAACGAACAAGATAGATAGATAGATAGATAGATAGATAGATAGAAAAGAGTATATAGTCAAACGTAATAATGTTTTTCACCTCGTGTTCGTACTCCGTGAAATGACCATTCACGGATACATCCGTCATGTCGAAATATGAAAAGCGATGGCTGGCTTGCTGTCGAAAACAGCTTTCTACTACCGTGCTGTATCAATCATTTTCTACGAAAAATAAAAAAGAGAAAGAAAGAAAGAAAGAAATAAATAAATAAATAAAGAAAGAAAGAGAGAGAAACCATGAAGAATACTGCGTTTAAATTACTCTCTACAAAAATCTCCAGAGATTTTTAATCGACTTTCGAAACGGTAGCACTGTATTCCTGTCATGTACTCTATGATACCTATTATCAATTTTTCAATTATTTTTTCTCGTAATAATTTTACGATTACACAATTCATTGAAAAATTAGCCTAAAACGATTCCAAACTAAAATTATTCAAAATTTAATTATCAATATTCTTGTACAAAAAATCTATTAATATATAAGTCTCAAAGGGAATTATAGACGGTTAATAAATCTGATGAACAATTTATTTTGAACTAGTTGTCTTTTTTAGTTGTCAATAAAACTTAACATATTACAATACAATTTGATCCTAAAACACCATAAGCGAAATGTATCATATAACAAATAACAATACAGTTAATTATAGGACAGACACGAACAATCTAAACAACATCTATAATGAAATTTTAAAATTCAATTATCATAACAGGACACACAGATAAAGGACATCATAATACGGAAGATACTTAGATTATTAAACACTAGTCTAGATAGAATCAGTATATGATTACGTGTGATAAGATAAAGTGTTTTAGGATCAAATTGTATTGTAATATGTTAAGTTTTATTGAAATGTATGACTCTGTAAAAAAGATAATATGTATTGACACGTGAACTAAATGATCAAGGTACAAAATTAGAATTTATTGTAATGTTTTATATTTATTAACAAGTCATAATAAAAATTTGTTAGTTGCTGATGAAGTCCCCAGTAAGGGACGATACGTACAACTAGTTCAAAATAAATTGTTCATCAGATTTATTAACCGTCTATAATTCCCTTTGCGACTTATATATTAATTATTCGAAATATTCAAAAATAATTTTCATTGTGATAAATCGTACAAACATATCTATTTTATTTAACCTGTTAACCTGTTTACCATTCGTATTATATATACGTCATGAACGATTAACAAAATTAAAAATGATTTTACTATTTTTATAATCTATAAAATCTCTCGTCCTCGTCGTAAAAAAAAAGTATCTCTCCAAAAATTCCGAAAATATATTCCAATCTTTTATTATTCCATCCAACTCGTTTTATTTTTATTTAAATTTCAAGATAGATATCGTAGGTGGTTAAAAAAAAAAAAAAAAAAAAAAGGGGGGAAAAAGAAAAAAAGGAAACAAATAAATTTTTAATTAATTCTATAACGAGAAGCGCGCAGACAAAGCTGATCTTTTCTCTCTTTCTCTTTCTCTTTCTCTTTCACTTGCGTGAAACGACCTTAATTAACGAACGCGATTAATGAGGAAAATAAAAAAGAAAAAGGAAAAAATAATACGATGACTAGGATGAGAAAGAAGCAGAATCAGAAGCAAAAGCAGAAGAAGAAGAAGAAGAGGGGGAGGAGGAGGGGGAAGGGGGGAAAGAGGAGAGAAAGAGGAAGTAATAATTTACCGCATATGCGCAGATTGCAAACGCATCAGTGGAGCGAGAGCACGATCAAGACCGTAACGAGGCCATATTGGCAAGTGCATGGTGGTTACGTCGAGAGGTCGATGCAAATGATCGTAACGCCACGAGTTCGTGCTGAAGTTCAAGCACACTTCGATTGCCCGGACTTGGAGGGTGCAGAACTCGAAGATCAGGGAGAGGATGGGACGGCCTTGACGCATTGGGAAAAGCGAGTCTTCGAGGTTACTAATTTTCCCCTATTTCCGATAATCCATTCAATTATTTTCATCGTCATCAATTTCGAAATTTATATCTCATATTTTTTAGTAATTTTTTTACATTTACAATTTTTTATTCGCAATATTAATTTATAATTTAGTAAAAGGCATTTTAATATTTACACGCATTTGCATCATTTGTTTAAGATAATAATTATTTACAAATTGCRACGCGTTGTTATCGTTAAATTTT